TGATATTCAGGTTCTGGGCTAGAGAAATGCCCTGCTTATACAGCAGGTTAGGTCCTGGGCTACTGCTTTACAGAAGGGCCCCGCTTATACAGCAGGTTAGGTCCGGGCTACTGCTGTACAGGAGGGCCCTGCTTATACAGCAGGTTAGGTCCTGAGCTACTGCTGTACAGAAGGACCCCGCTTATACAGCAGGTAATTAATTTTTATAGTGGATCAGAAGAAGATAAATTATGTAACGTCACAGTCACTAGTGAAATGGTTGTGAAGCAGATAGACCGACTGAAGCAAAATAAGTCACCGGGTCCTGATGAGGTTTTTTCAAGGGTTCTTAAGGAATGCAAAATGGAAGTCTGTGAACCATTAACTAATATTTTTAATTTATCTCTTCAAACAGGTGTAGTGTCTGATATGTGGAAGATGGCTAATGTAATTCCTATTTTTAAAACAGGGGACAAGTCGTTACCATCAAATTACCGCCCAATAAGCCTGACCTCAATTGTAGGCAAATTACTAGAGTCAATTATAGCTGAGATTATAAGAAGCCATCTTGATAAGCATAGCTTGATTAAGGATACTCAGCATGGATTCACAAGAGGCCGGTCTTGTCTAACTAATTTATTAACTTTCTTCAGTAAAGCTTTTGAGGCTGTTGACCACAATAAAGAATTTGATATTATTTACTTAGATTTTAGTAAGGCTTTTGATAGAGTGCCGCACCATAGACTGTTAAAGAAAGTGGCAGCTCATGGCATTGGGGGAAGGGTGCTCTCGTGGATCGAATCATGGCTCACAGACAGAAGCAGAGAGTGTCCATAAATGGGGTTAAATCCGAGTGGGGATCAGTAACAAGTGGCGTTCCACAGGGATCAGTCTTGGGCCCGTTGTTGTTTATAATATATATCAATGATCTTGATGAAGGAATTACTAGTGATATTAGCAAATTCGCCGATGACACGAAGATAGGTAGGATAATTGATTCAAACGTAGATGTTAGGGAACTTCAGGAGGATTTAGACAAACTCTACTCTTGGTCAGAAAAGTGGCAGATGCAGTTCAATGTAGATAAATGCAAGGTTCTGAAGCTCGGGAGTGTCCATAACCCTAGCACTATAAGTTAAATAATGTAGAACTTAGCCTTACAGATTGCGAAAAGGACTTGGGGGTTATGGTAAGCAGCAACCTTAAACCAAGACGCAATGCCTAAGCGTACGTAATAAGGCAAATAGATTACTGGGATTTATATCAAGAAGTGTAAGCAACAGAAGTCCAGAGGTCATACTGCAGCTTTATACATCATTAGTAAGGCCTCACCTAGATTATGCAGCTCAATTCTGGTCTCCATATAACAGAATGGACATAAATTCGTTAGAAAACATTCAGCGTAGGATGACTAAATTAATACATAGCATTAGAAATCTTCCTTATGAAGAAAGATTGAAGACTCTTAAGTTACATTCACTTGTTAGACGAAGAATGAGGGGAGACCTGATCGAAGTGTATAAGTGGAAGATAGGTATTAATAAAGGGGATATTAATAAGGTCTTGAGGATGTCTCTCCAAGAGAGAACCCGCAGTAATGGATTTAAATTAGATAAGTTTAGATTTAGAAAGGACACAGGAAAGTATTGGTTTGGAAATAGGGTAGTTGATGAGTGGAACAGTCTACCTAGTTGGGTTATTGAGGCTGGGACTTTGGGTAGTTTCAAATCTAGGTTGGATAAGTACATGAGTGGGAGGGGTTGGATTTGAGTGGGACTTTCACATCAGAGCTTATTTCTTGGGTGGCATTGAAAATTGGGTTGGGCAAATGTTTTGTTAGTGGGATGAATTGTAAAGGACCTGCCTAGTATGGGCCAACAGGCCTCCTGCAGTGTTCCTCCTTTCTTATGTTCTTATGTTCCGGGCTAGAGGAGGGTCCTGCTTATACAGCAGGTTAGGTCCTGGGCTAGGAGGGCCCTGCTTATACAGCAGGTTAGGGTCTGGGCTAGGAGGGCCCTGCTTATACAGCAGGTTAGGTTCTGGGCTAGGAGGGCCCTGCTTATACAGCAGGTTAGGTTCTGGGCTAGGAGGGCCCTGCTTATACAGCAGGTTAGGTTCTGGGCTAGGAGGGCCCTGCTTATACAGCAGGTTAGGTTCTGGGCTAGGAGGGCCCTACTTATACAGCAGGTTAGGTTCTGGGCTCTACAGGAGGGCCCCACTTATACAGCAGGTTAGGTTCTGGGCTATAGGAAGGCCCTGCTTATACAGCAGGTTAGGCTTTGGGCTACAGGCACAGGTGCTGTATAATCTTATGGGTTTAGTGCTCCTGCATGATTATAATAATCTGAGCTACAGGAGGGCCCCACTTAAACACCAGGTTAGGTTCCACGCTACAGAAGGGCCCTGCTTATACAGCAGGTTACGTTCTGGGCTCTACAGGAGGGCCCCACTTAAACACCAGGTTAGGTTCCACGCTACAGAAGGGCCCTGCTTATACAGCAGGTTAAGTTCTGGGCTCTACAGGAGGGCCCCACTTAAACACCAGGTTAGGTTCCACGCTACAGAAGGGCCCTGCTTATACAGCAGGTTAAGTTCTGAGCTCTACAGGAGGGCCCCACTTAAACACCAGGTTAGGTTCCACGCTACAGAAGGGCCCTGCTTATACAGCAGGTTAAGTTCTGGGCTCTACAGGAGGGCCCCACTTAAACACCAGGTTAGGTTCCATGCTACAGAAGGGCCCTGCTTATACAGCAGGTTAGGTTCTGGGCTCTACAGGAGGGCCCCACTTAAACACCAGGTTAGGTTCCATGCTACAGAAGGGCCCTGCTTATACAGCAGGTTAAGTTCTGGGCTACTGCTGTATAGTACAAATAGCTGTAAAGTGGATCATAGCCTTTTATCACTTTCAAATGCATATAAAAGCCTTCTAACATGTTTACACTATCATATATTAAGTGAATAATAGAACTAGGCCTGAAAAATGGATATACAGTGCACACATTACTTACCTTAAAATATTTTCATTCTTGGCTTATAGCGAGTGGTGAACATATTTATTGTAGGAAGTCTGAATAAATGAAGAATGCTGATAATTGAAAACCACTGTGTTAGTGCAATGCTGTAAAGCAAAGCACTGTAAAATGAAGTGCTGTAAAGTGAAGCACTGTAAATTGAAGTGCTGTATAAAGTGAAGCACTGTAAATTGAAGTGCTGTAAAGTGAATCACTGTAAAGTGAAGTGCTGTAAATTGAAGTGCTGTATAAAGTGAAGCATTGTAAAGTGAAATGCTGTATAGTGAATCAGTGCAAAGTGAAGTGCTGTAAAGTGAAGTGCTGTAAAGCAGGGCCTGCCTGTATTTCAACTTCCTTCTGGCATCCTTTTCAGTTGAAGAGGATCCCAGAAGAGGATTGAAATATACAGATCAATTAATCTTGTGAGGTTTGTTTCCATGTGGGTTATTATTGATCACTGACAAGTGTTCATTACACGTTGGTATCCATTTGGGTTATGTACATGCTTTTCCTTACTCTTAATGCAGTACCAGTAAACTCAGTGAACCTCCATATAGGCTGATGTTTTTTCTGTAAACAAGATTGAAAAAAATACATCCAGAATTGAATAGCATTTCCACATACTAATCAATTTTGGATATAGTACTGTACTTTTTCAGCCACAGTAACAGAACATCGCACTACAGCGGAGCTTTATGAGAGAGTTTTCTGTATATGTATATTTTTTTTCTTCCAAAAAAAATCTTAATTTAAAAAAAAAAAAATTTTTGGGTGGGGCGGGGTGGGGGGGGGGTTAGATCATAACAGCTGCAGCAAGAATGTCTATCCACATTTTTTGAGCTTAAATTAGTTAGGTTGTTGCCATGGAAACATTGCAGCTGATTATCTTTTATATATTTGTTGCGTTTGCTTTGCTTATGTGGAAGTTTAGCCTTCACAGGAGGAGGGGGGGCACCCCCTCATGCTCTGGTGAAGAGCTCTTGATCCAAGGAATTGGTGCTACCCTCCACTTCCTTGGATCAAAACTAATTGCAATTCCTTCTCCATGTGATGTATGTCCCCAAAAAAGGTTTACTCATTCCCCATTAAAATGGTAATAATAATAATAATAATAATAATAATAATAATAATAATAATAATAATAATAATCATATCTAGAAGAATAATGCATGTATTTTTTTGTGATTTAACTGAAATTCTGGTGACAATTATTTTAATAGGTACTGTATGTCACTAAAGATATTGTGGCACTGCTGTTATTATTATCTTGTTAACAGTGACCATTACTACAGATATTGTGGCACTGCTGTTATCATTATCTTGTTAACAGTGACCATTACTACAGATATTGTGGCACTGCTGTTATTATTATCTTGTTAATAGTGACCATTACTACAGATATTGTGGCACTGCTGTTATCATTATCTTGTTAACAGTGACCATTACTACAGATATTGTGGCACTGCTGTTATTATTATCTTGTTAACAGTGACCATTACTACAGATATTGTGGCACTGCTGTTATCATTATCTTGTTAACAGTGACCATTACTACAGATATTGTGGCACTGCTGTTATTATTATCTTGTTAATAGTGACCATTACTACAGATATTGTGGCACTGCTGTTATTATTATCTTGTTAACAGTGACCATTACTAGATATTGTGGCACTGCTGTTATCATTATCTTGTTAATAGTGACCATTACTACAGATATTGTGGCACTGCTGTTATTATTATCTTGTTAACAGTGACCATTACTAGATATTGTGGCACTGCTGCTATCATTATCTTGTTAATAGTGACCATTACTACAGATATTGTGGCACTGCTGCTATCATTATCTTGTTAATAGTGACCATTACTACAGATATTGTGGCACTGCTGTTATTATTATCATGTTAACAGTGACCATTACTACAGATATTGTGGCACTGCTGTTATTATTATCTTGTTAACAGTGACCATTACTACAGATATTGTGGCACTGCTGTTATTATTATCTTGTTAGCAGTGACCTACACTGATGCATTTTGGCAGGTAAAGGTGGTTTCCTGGGAATGGATGAAAGCGGTGTATTACTGGATGAGGGCCACCTGGTGGATAATCTGGGTGCCCCCATTCCCCTACCCTCACCCTCGCGGTCGTCCCCTCGCTCTCAAGGCTCGGAGAATGGAGAGCGCTTTTCTCGTAAAGTTTTCGTTGGTGGACTCCCGCCTGATATAGATGAAGGTTAGTATTCAAGTTGTTGGCATTGTGTACTCTTGCAGAAGTGCTGATTTTATTACAGCTGCTTAAATTAAAAGATTTTGACCAGAGATGCATTATTTTGGCGTAAATTTGCCTAATACGGTATAAATTTTCATTTGATATTTTAGAAATATGTAGAATATTAGTGTATACAAGTGCTCCTTGACTTACAATATTAGTGTATAAAAGTGCTCCTTGACTTACAATATTAGTGTATAAAAGTGCTCCTTGACTTACAATATAAGTGTATACAAGTGCTCCTTGACTTACAATGTTAGTGTATACAAGTGCTCCTTGACTTACAATATTAGTGTATAAAAGTGCTCCTTGACTTACAATATAAGTGTATACAAGTGAAAAAACCATACCCCTGGCCGGGATTGAACCCGCGGTCATAGAGTCTCAAAACTCCAGCCCGTCGCGTTAGCCACTAGACCAGCTAGCCACAATAAGATTCATCCAACTAGGTATATTTCTACACCATAGGAAGGTTAGCACAGGCACCACTGTGACCACAAATGCAAGTTTTTACAGACGAATCTCCAGCTAGCGTGGCCGTGACGAACTCTAGCTCAAGTCCCTTCACTGCCGTCAACATGACTCAAGAAATCCTAATGACACGATTGCAAACAAACCATACCCCCGGCCGGGATTGAACCCGCGGTCATAGAGTCTCAAAACTCTAGCCCGTCGCGTTAGCCACTAGTTTTGAGACTCTATGATCGCGGGTTCAATCCCGGCCGGGGGTATGGTTTGTTTGCAATCGTGTCATTACGATTTCTTGAGTCAGTATACAAGTGCTCCTTGACTTACAATGTTAGTGTATACAAGTGCTCCTTGACTTACAATATTAGTGTATAAAAGTGCTCCTTGACTTACAATATAAGTGTATACAAGTGCTCCTTGACTTACAATGTTAGTGTATACAAGTGCTCCTTGACTTACAATATTAGTATATACAAGTGCTCCTTGACTTACAATATTAGTGTATACAAGTGCTCCTTGACTTACAATGGGGTTACGTTCCAGCGAACTCATTATAAGTCGAAAATATTGTAAGTCTAATATTATTGATATATTAAATAAGTATATAAAGAATTAGTCACTGAATAAGTAAATAAACAGATAATTACTGTAACTGACTACATACAGCTTCTCTTCACTTAGCGATGTACTTGTTTACCAAAGACTCGGACTTACGACAGGTTCTCTGATCAGTATTCATACCTAAATAATGTATATAAGAGCTGATTTCCTCTATTTTGTTTATCACGATATACAGTGCTAGTCATGGCATTATGCCAGATGAGCGCCCCAGCATAATGCCGTGATGAAAATCAAAAGCCTGCCATACAGGGGATTTTTTTTTGTCAGTTCATTATACCAGGTAACAGCCGTTAGCATGGCATCACAGCCTGCTGCCACACTCCACAGTGACTTCTTAGTGCTCACATGGCTGCTGTGGTGAGAGGAAGTGTTACACTGTTGTCTCTCATCCACCCCATCTTTTGTCTGGTGTTCCCTTTGGTTTTGGAGCTATAGATGTTTGATCATGGGTAAAAGGAAGTCTTTAACACCTGAAACTATAGCTCAAATCATAGGGCTTCACAAAGCTGGGCACCAGACGAAAGAAATAATGGTGAATGTTGGTGTGTGTGAGTGTTTAGTGAGGAACTGGGTGCAGCATTTCAAGGCTGGTGACAGTGTTGAGCTACCATCTGCCAAACCTCGGCCTGGCCCCTCAAAGAAGACGTCTGTTCATATCTTAACTGCGTTCAAAAACGCAGAGAGTACACCCAAGATAACTGCTAGAGAATTGAAAGAAAAGAACCCACACCTTCTCTCAGTGGTGTCTGTAAGAACTGTTAACAGACATGTGTCAGAACTGGACTACAGTAGTCACCGCCAGGTTAAGAAACTGATCCTTTCTAAACCACAGAAGAAACGTATGCTGGATTATGCAAAGAAATATCTTCACTGGAATCCTCAACAGTGGTCTGAAGTACTTTGGAGTGATGAAGCAACCTTCACTGTCACCTGTAACCATGGGGGACGTGTACCGGCCCAGAGGTAGTGAGCCGCTAGACCCATGCTACACCTGTGGGACCACCAAACACCCAGACTCGCTCATGGTTTGGGGGTGTTTCAGTGCTCAGTGTTGATGAACTCATTGTGCTTCCTAAAAACCAGTATATGAACCAGTATAATTACCTGGAGTTACTGTGTGACAATTTACCTGAGGCATTTGACAAGTATGGGGCTACAGTTTTTGTGCAGGATGGCGCACCGTGTCATACCGCCAAATCTGTAGTTCAGTGGCTTAAGGACTGTGAGGTTCTTTAATGACTGGCTAGGCAGTTCCCCAGACCTAAACCCTATTGAGAACCTCTGGTCAATAGTGAAACAAAGTTTACTGGGCAAGGATATCAGTTCCATCCCACAGCCGGAGGCTGCTCTGCATGAGGCATGGAATAATATACCTCCCCAAATCCACAAGAATTTGTGTGAGAGTCTTCCTCCATGGCTGAGGGATGTGATTGAGCATAAAGGACACAGCACCAAGTATTAAGACCTCAGTAAGTGTGAAAATAATATATTATAATCTTTCATGGTATGTGTTTGTGTTTTGGTACGTGTGTGGGGGAGGGGTGGCATAATGCCATGACTAGCACTGTACAGTGCACTGCTGTATAAACATTTAAAAATATTCCAGAAATGTTGTAAATGGTGCAAAGGTGACATTAAAACAATATCAAAGATGGTTGACACGAACCCATTACCATTATAGTATGCTCCTCACTTAGTGACGAATTCATTTACCGACCTACTCTTAGGAACACAACTTCATCGTTAAGTGAGGAGAAGCTGTGCAGCCTCTCCTCACTTAGTGACTTACTCGTTTACTGACTGCTCAGACTTATGACCAGCTCTCCAACAGGTATTCTGTTTATTACAGTATACAGTACGCTACTGTATAAACGTTTAAAAATATACAATGGACCCTCGACTAAAGGCTGCATCAGCTAACGCCAAAATCGGCTAACAGCTCTCTTTGGCGTCAACATATTGGCTTGGCCAATGCCAAAAAGCTCGGCTAAGGGCTTTTGTCCCGAATGTGTCCACGCAGCCTGAGCAGACCTGGCCACTCCAAGACTCCGTATATAGCCAGTCTGCCATTGTTTACAAGCCGTTGCAGCCGATTCCATGTGTACCTGCGATATATTTTGTATTCCATTGATTTTAGTGCTTGTAACTGCTATATAAGCCACCATGGGCCCAAAGAAAGTTTCTAGTGCCAGCCCTGTGATAAAGAAGGAAAGAAACACAATAAAATTCAAGAAAAAACTCGTAGCAAAGTACCAAAGTGGAGGAGGAAGAGAGAAGGGGAGAATGTGCCTTCTGCAGTGATTCAGTGATTCTCCAATATGTACGATACTAAAGCAGCAGGTATCGATAAAGGCTATAGTACCAGCCAGCAATAAAGTGTAGAATTAACAGTGTAGCAAGTAAGTTAAGCGAGTAAGCTATAGAAAAAGACACGAAAGTAACTCTCCAATGTTGTTGGATGTGTGTATATCCGCTGAACATACGCCGGCCTGCTATCTTCCACTACCCTAAAACCTCTGCCAACATCTCCTCTATTAAACTAACTAATCAAACTAACATCTCCAAGGTAAGTGTAAATATAAAAGTGTAAGTACAAAAGTAAATATAAGTGTAAATATAAGAGGACCCCAATGGAAATATGTAAGTCACTCTGACTTTTTTGGGTTATCCTAGGTACTTTACACATATACTGCTATGTATGATAATTTGTGCAACTGTATTTGTGTATACCTGAATAAACATGCTTATTTATAAATTAAAATGTAAATATTTCTTATTTATAAATTACATTGTTAAAGTGTGATAGTGGTGGTGGCAGAAGCCTCCACCTCCACCACTACGACTTCTCTCAGTGGCCCTTATAAACCCAACAACAACAATTACACCATTTACTCCTCTCATACATTATGACATATTTTATTCATTCTAGAGTATATATCATGTTTCTATGTTATTAACCCTTTCAGGGTCCAAGGCCCAAATCTGGAGTCACGCACCAGTGTCCAAGAATTTAAAAAAAAAAAAATTTTTATTTTTTCTTATGAAATCGTAGAGAATCTTTTTGTGAAGGTAATAAAACAAAAAGTACGAAATTTGGTGGAAAATTGACGAAATTATGCTCTCGCGAATTTTGATGTGTCAGCGATATTTACGAATCGGCGATTTTGCCGACTTTGACTCCCATTTTAGGCCAATTACATTATTCCAATCAACCAAATTCTTAGCTATTTCACTAGTATTACTCTATTCTATCGATTGAGCACAAGAAATCGCCAAGTCAACCGTTTCAACTACAAAATAAAGTGATCGGAAATTGTTAATTTGGCCAATTTAACACAAAGTTCAAAATATTCCAATTTCAAAATAGGGTCCAGAATGAACAATGTAGGCATTCCTGGCACTAAACTAACATTTCCTCTGTTCATTAGTTATGTTTTTTAGGCTTTACAAATAAATTCCATTTTGATTTTTTATTCACATAATGAATTTTTTATTCACACCAAAAAAATAGAAGATTTACTGTTATGCAATACTGTAATAATTGTATAAATATCATCACCATATTTGTGAATGTATATTAGACCCACCAGCTGACATGTATTAGACGTTTTGAGGTCGTTGTTTACTCTTGAATATCGGCAAAAATTTAACATTTCTGCTAATTTGAGCTCAGTTTCAAGCCATTTCCAGTGCTAAAACCAATCAAAATCATCTCTATTTCTGTAATATGTCTTCCATTCTATCAAATGAGACCAAGAAATCGCAAATACAACTATAAAAAACATACGAAAAAACACTGCAAAGTTGCTGTTTTAATCGAAAAATCATGATTTCATTTTTTTCTCTCATTATACACAGTGTGCTGCAGGATCTGT